AAACGTATTTCTTCTATTATAAGTGAGTAAAGTTTTCTAATTTCTCTCTAAAATCTGCACTGAAATTCTCACCAGTGTTTGCCGACGACGTACTGGTGAAGAAAGTTGCCAAGTTTGCTGGTCAAATTCTCTGGATCCGCCACTGTTTCGTGACTGTCGTCTGCAACTCTGCTGAGTTTCGGCCAATTTACTTGGCAAAAAACATATTTCTTCTATTATATGTGCGTGAAGTTTTCTGATTTCTCTCTAAAATCTGCACTGAAATTCTCACCAATGTTTGCCCGACGACGTACTCGTAAAGCAAGTTGCCAAGTCACTGGATGAATTTTCGTAGTGTCTGATCTAGCAGGGGATCCTGAGGGCCGCCCCTGTTTTGTGACTGTCGTCTACAGAATGTCTCTGCGTCATTTCGTTTTCGCTTTGTATTTCCGATCCGGATGAAACCTTGCAAATGATGAAGTAAAAGGTTTCTTTTAATTCTTTTCTCATTACTCCACTTCTTCCTGCATAAATAAATGGATTCATCATCGAGTTAGCGACGGCGAGAAAATCTGCTAACCACAAGTACCAGACCAGTGAGGTAGAAACATTATCAATGAGTTTGCGAACAATGATTTTAAGAGCACTTGGTGCAATACACAAAATGTAAACCAGAAGTACTATGGCTGTTGTCTTGGCCATTTTTATTTCTCGTTTACTAACTTTCTTCTCGCGACGTGAGGCAGCCTTCGTTGCTTTTTTTGACGCAAAGAAAATATAGGCATACAGTATAAACATGATAGGAATTGAAAGGCCGATAGCCACTACTTTAACGAAAAATTCCACAGGGTTTCCGTACTTTTCATAAATGGCAGATCTCCCGCAATCGTATTCATACGTCACGTTATGTGGTGGCACGAAAAGGCTTGCGACAGCACTTACTGCAAACGAACTTCCGCCTGCGAGAAGCCCAAACAAATCAACACATACAGAAATTCGAAATGCTCTTTTAACTGACACCCATACACGGTATCGTAAAGGATATTTAATCGCAAGGAATCGGTCAATAGTTATCACCAACAGATTCAGCACGGACATAGAAATCAATATTGTGGCGGGCATATAATACCACATTGCACAGCCATTCATATAAAGGAACTGTCTACGAAGAAAGCTTCCTACCATACAGAGGGGAACTCCAATCAAGCCAGTTAAGAAATCAACAATTGCTAAGGATGCAATGAAGATACTGCTCGGAGTATTTTTACGATTCCTATACACACTGAGTATAACAATGAAGTTTCCAAGTATTGTCACCAACATAACGGCCAAGTATGTGACGATCACATAAATAAATAGCCCTACAGAAACGTTTTGCTGTAGCAACAAATCAATTGTTGCCATTGTGAAAATTCAAAAAAGAAAGAAGATTGTAGCAATCAACAATTGCTAAGGATGCAATGAAGATACTGCTCGGAGTATTTTTACGATTCCTATACACACTGAGTATAACAATGAAGTTTCCAAGTATTGTCACCAACATAACGGCCAAGTATGTGACGATCACATAAATAAATAGCCCTACAGAAACGTTTTGCTGTAGCAACAAATCAATTGTTGCCATTGTGAAAATTCAAAGAAGAAAGAAGATTGTAGCAAAAGTATGTCTGGTGTTTAAAATTACAGGACCCACTTCCATAGGCGTTCGTAAATAAATGTATGAAGTCATTCGTAACGAATTCATATGTATTCATGTGGTCGATTGTTCAGGAAGTTACGTATTTATGGGATAGAAACAAATCGGTTAAAAAGGTTACACTAACCTTTACCACCTGGCACGTTACCACCTGACAGTGAAGAGAGACACGGATTGGAACTATTATACATTGGGGGAAACACCGATGACAGCAATTTTTTCATGTACGTGACCCGAAACAGTGACATTAAAGGCCACGCCCAAATACGTATTTAATCATGTGAAGAGAGACACGGATGAATTTATTTTATTGGAACTTTTATACATTGGGGGTAACAAAAATACCAATGACAGCAACTTTATCCTGTACATAAACCGAGACAGCAGCCCCAAGGAACCCCCGGGGGTCTTATATAGTAGCAACATGATAAAATCAGGCAAAGAGAGACAGGAATGTAACCAACTAGGAATTACTACTTGTGCATTGTAGAATGCTGGAACACCGATGACAGCAATTTTTTCATGTACCTGACCCTAAACAGTGACAATAAAGGCCGCGCCCAAATGACATTAATCATGTGAAGAGAGACATGGATGATTTTTTTTTTATTGTTAATATTATACATTGTTGGTAACATAAATACCAATGACAGCAACTTTATCCTGTACATAAGCCCAGACAGCAGCCCCAAGGGATCCACGGGACTACTTGTACATTGTAGAATGCTGAAACACCGATGACAGCAATTTTTTCATGTACGTGACCCTAAACAGTGGCATTAAAGGCCATGCCCAAACGTACATTAATCATGTGAAGAGAGACACGGAAGATTTTTTTTTATTGGCACTATTATACATTGGGGGTAACATAAGTACCAATGAAAACAACTTTATCCTGTACATAAGCCCAGACAGCAGCCCTAGGTTCCCAAATGGACTTATTATTTATAGTATGATATGGTCGAATCTAATAATGATTAGAGACAATAGAATGCAACTGAAACACCTTATTATGACACAGACAGTGGTTCTGGAGATCAACTTCAGAATAAAAAAGGAATTTAGTGAAGGATGGGACAACTTACAATGTATAAATTTGGGCATGGCCTTTAATGCCACTGTTTAGGGTCACGTACATGAACAAATTGCTGTTATCGGTGTTTCAGCACAGTGTACTGGAGTGGATGAGGCGGTATCAGCCGTTTATTTCAAAACAGCTAAATTTCCAGATATTTTGTGTCAGGTATGTGTGATTACTCATATACCATATGAGTAAGTGGCTGATAATGGTATTTTGGTACAAAACCATTTATTTTTGATAACAACAATCAAGGTAATTGCTAGGCCAAAGAAGCAAGCTTTCTAAGCCGTCCACCACCAGCCTGAATTGTTTATCAGTACTGTGCCTACTTCCTGCTTGGGTAATTAAGGCCCTTCAATGCAAGCCTGAAAACAATGGGAGACTCAGCAGAGAACAATGCTTCTACCATGATGGAAATGCATGGTCAAAAGGAAACATATAATAATAGGCCTAGCCAAGAGGGAGAAAACCAAGAAGAGAATTTGTTTGTAACATTCCAAGACAGTCAAAGTACTACAATCAAGTGTATCTCGAATTGCCAATTTGAGAATATTGAAAAGGGCAAGTCTCTGGAATGTACTTTGTGTGAAGACCATTACCACAAACAGTGTGTTGGAATGAAGACTAAACAAAACCCAAGAGTTTGGTTATGTCCAACTTGTAAGGAAATTCCTTCAAATCTTGATAAGCTTCACAGAAAAAATACAGAACTAGAAGAAGCAATGGCAAATCTACTTAAAATGAACCAGCAATTATCAAAGCAAATCAAAGAACAGACAGTCACGATCACCCAGTTAAAATCACAGCTACAATCTGTGACAAATAGACCTACTACTAGCACTAGTTCTGTCTCGACGAATGATCCAATTCAATCAAGGAATGCTTCCAAAAATAATCTACAAAGAAAACCATCAGACACACCAGCGAATGATGTACCAGTAATAAATGGACATCCAGTAGATACACTAATAATTGGTGACTCCATTGTGAAGGATATCAGTGAGAAAGGACTTAAAAATACAAAAGTAATCTGTATGAGAGGTGCAAAGGTATGTGATGTGAAGGAAAAGCTGAGCAATATAAATGATCGCCACTTTGAATGTATCATAATTCATGTGGGAACCAACAATTGCACGTCAGAAGAAAATCTCAACCAAGGAATGGCTGAATATAAAAGTATGGTAACTGATGTTAGAGCTCTCCTTCCTAACACGTATTTAAAACTCTCAACCATATGCCCTAGATCAGATAATTTGCAATACCAACGACGTGTTGATATCTTTAATCTTGCAATCAGTGATATCGCATTGACAACAGATTGCTGCCAAGTAGTTAATAATGATGAAACATTTAAGTTACAAAATGGATGCTTAACAAAGCGAAACCTTAATGGAAGCGGACTGAATCTGTCGAAAGAAGGCACAAGGACACTAATCCACAATATTAACAATGTACACAACATCATTAAACCAAGGAATGTAATGAGAATTTACAACAAGGTAAAACAAAAAAAGAATGACAGGAAACGACCAAGCTACGATAGAAGATACAGGATTGACGAGAATGTCCCCAGAAACACTATCTCTCACTGCCAAAAATGTGGTTTAACAAACCACACTACACGAGATTGCTTTCGCAATCATGCTATCAAGTGCTATAGATGCCATCAAAGCGGTCATAAAGCGTACAATTGTGTGCAACAACCATCTCGCATATGTAGTAGCAGACCAGCATAGGATACAGCCCGCAACATATCAAATCAACAAGAACAAGAACTACACTGTTACAATAAATTTCACTGTCTACATGATGAACTCGAACTTCTCATAAACATAGCTGAAGGATCTGATCTCAGAGATCATCCACCTAGTCCAACAGATAATAAAAATAAAAGGCGACATAGAAGAGGAAAAAAGGGTAGGCCTAGTAAAAAGTTGCTTAAAGAATCCACTATTATTAAGATTGCGTTCAATAACGTTAATCATCTTAGGCCAAAGATGTATGAGGTATCATCTTTTTTAATTAATAACAATATACATATTCTTGGTATTGCCGAGACATTTTTAAAGAATGATATGGGTGTTTCTATTAAGGGTTATAGATGGTTTAACAAAAATAGGATCGATAAAAATGGAGGGGGGTTGGTTTATATGTATCCAATGATATTACTATTCTAGATGATAATTTGTTTGAATGTAATTCTGATGATTATGAAAGATTATGGCTGAAAGTAAAAATTAATAATGAAAAGCCACTTTATATAGCAACTGCATACTTTCCTGTCGAGGGTGTCAATAAGGAATTAACAGTAGCATTGTACAATCAACTCTTATCAGAAACCTTAAAAATTGAAAATTCTTGTGATGAGGAAGAGCCATCTATTCTTATCATGGGCGATTTTAATGGTCGAATAGGCGATGCAATATGGTGATAACATCTTAAATTCAAATGGGAAAAAATTACTCGAATTTAGTGACAACTCGGAAATGACGATCTTAAATCGCACAATTTTTTGTGAAGGAAAAATAACTTGGGCAAAAGGAACACAAAATAGTATCATTGATTATATGCTAGCTTCTGAGAGCCTTATCAATAAAGTAGAGAAACTACTGGTTGATGAATTGAGGAATTACAGTGTTGGTAGTGATCACAACATGATGATTGTAACTTTAAATTATGATATTAATAAATGTGTTTTACATGGGGGTAAAAAGAAATGCGATACTCTTATCTGGGATATAAAAAATGGCCAAGACTACTCTGCTTACCAAAGTGAACTTAAGCTTGGTTTTGAAAATTGGGATACCCATAAATTTGACAATATTAATGACCTATGGAAATCATGGAAATCAATTGTCATTTCGGCTGCTGAAAAGGGGATTGGGAAACGGGTAGTAAACAATAAAATTAAACCGTGGTTTGACAAAGAAGCCGATAATGCTATTAAAAATAGAAAAAAGCTGCAAAAATACATAGGCAGTATTTAAAAAGAGGTGATAGAGATGATGCTACTTGTGAGTTTCTTTGGAGGAATTATCAGGAAAAACGTGTTTATGCTAAATCAATTATTAAACAAAAGATTAATAAGAAGAGAATGGATAAATCAATTGTAATTGCTAGTAGAGGTGGACAAAGATGTAAAGAGTTCTGGGAGACTCTTAGGGGTCCAAAACATAAACATCAATCTGTTGACTGTATAAAATCACCCTTATCAAATGAAATTATTACTGAGAAGGAAAAACTGAATCAGACAGTCAAACAATATTGGGAAACAATTGGGAAAATGCATATGAATATGCATGATATTACTTCCTTTAATACTACAATCTTCATCCAAAATTTCCGCAATGAATTAAGTCTAGAGGACCCTACGGATAACAATATGTGCACCTCTAGTGGTACTGAACATAACTTTTTGTATAATATAGAATTAAGCAAAGATATTGTTTCTACTGCTCTAACACAGGCCAAAAATAATAAGGCACCAGGTCATGATGGAATAACTAATGAGCTGTTAAAGAATGGTGCAGAACATATTCAGCACTCTCTCCTTGGTATGTTCCAAAGGATCAATGAATTAGAGAAAATCCCAATCATAATACCAATATTTAAGAAAGGTAGTAGACT